ACTTGTTTTCTCTACTCCTCTCTTCGGCAGTTTCTTGTGTATATACATGTTAATTACAGTATCTTACATTTCTTAGCTGCTTATGTCAGTCAGACTTTTTCCAGAGCAAGTTATCGATATTTGGATTTTAAAAGACTATATAATATAGAATCTTTGTAGAACTGGAAATTAGTTCACATTTTCATTATGAACAGGAGCTCTGAGCAAGTTTTGATGAAATATTAACCAATTCTAAATAGTTTCCAGATAGTAAGCACTTTCTGGATGACATCTAGAAGCAGTTACACTGTTGCATGTACAAAACAACTTATTTGTAGCCAGTAATTTTGCTTCTCATAAGAGAATTTTAGCAAGAAAGTAAGAAAACAGGATTAGTTGGTAGGACACGAGTAATTTAATCTCAACTACAACAGTAGCAAATACACAAATACATCTACCGCAGATTTGGTTTCGCCTTTTCCTCTGCCTCTTCTGGAGCACCATCATTAACGTGTCGGACAACCAAATTGTACGGTTCCTCCTCCATTGTCTCTTCATCTGATTTCTGTTCCTCCTCCAAAGCCCATTTGGAACGTTTGCTTCCCGTGGAGGAGACTGGAGAATGTTCTGCATCGAAATCGTCAGGGATGCTGTCAAAATTAGTTTCTGCGAGACACTTATGGCACAGTCTGTAGCGTCTTGTTCCTTGCTGAACAACACAGCCTGTGAGCTCGGTTACGTGATGCTTGCATTTTCTGCAGATCAGTTTGCCAGCTTGGTGTATCTAAAGAGATTTAAAATTTGAAAATGTCAGTGTTCATCCAAAAACAGATGTAACTATTTATTTAAGAAAATTGACTGAAGCATTCTAAAAAAAAAAAAGAAATTTGTAATACAGTTTGCCAATTGAAGTCATGAATATTAATGTTGATGTGCAGCTCGGAAGCTTTCCTGGCATTAGTTCTGAAAATGACTGAACAGCTGGTACCAATGACATCTTGTGAGTTTTGTTGGTTTTTGTGTTGTTTTTTTTTCTAGGCCGAATCTCTGGTGGAAATGACGTACCGTTTGGAAGTGGTTACGTAAATGCTCCAGTCGGGTGAACCTTTTCCCACAGGCTTCGCATGGGTACGGTCGCTCCCCTGTGTGACACCGAAGATGTCGCTTCAGGTCTGCGCGTCGTTTCACCGTGTGAGTGCAGAAGGGACATTTAAATCGCATCCGAGGTAGGTCATCTGTTACAGAGAAATAGGGAAAATGTCAAAAAGCAGTAGTCTGTCTTTACGTAGTAGTTTATTTTACAGCTTAAATAAGCAGCAGTTCATTTTTCCTCCAGTCTGGCACTAAATAGGAAAAACTCCCCAAATATAATCCCCCAAACCCAGTAATTTTTATTGAACACGTTAGGCACTACAATGGAGTACATGAGGAAAATAATCTGCAAGTCTAGGCATCATTTTGGGTTTCATGCAGGCATACAGATTATCTTCAAAAGATCATCTGAATTCTTCCAGATAAAGACAAACTTTCCAGAACCATATGTATTTTTACCTTCGTTCCAAGTACTCATTACACCTAAAATTGTGGGCATCGAGGTGTATAGTTCTTCTGCTTTTAATTCCATGAACTCGGGAGTTCTTGAAAGTTCTTGTTCTAGCTGAGCCATGGACCACCTCTTTGCTATCGCTTCCGATTCGTGATTATATCCGTATTCATCGTGATCAACATCGTTCTCGGCATCAAACTCGGCCTCCTCCCCAACCCGAGAGATGTGGCTGGAATCTGACGCGCTGCAACCTCCGCCGGCCCGCTCGGCTTTGTTCGATTTACCCTGCGCAGAATCCCGGGTCTGGGACAGTCCGAGGTGCTTTCGGCGCTTTCTCGTTGAGCCCTGTTTTCGGCCTCTTTTTGAGAGCTGTGTTTCTGCCCGCTGAAGAATCACCTGTGAGGACAGGTAGCTGCTGTAACTACTCCAGGAATTTTCGTTCACCGTATTCGCCTTTTCATCCGGGATAGAATAGGAACGCCTGGGGTTGCTCTTTGCTTTTCTTCTGGACCGATAAAGAGACGGATGGGCAGCAGGTTCACTGGTTGTACTTTTGGCCGAAAGGCTGAGGTAATGATCCTTCTCCTTTTCGTTAATATCCAGTGAGGACTTAATGAATGTCTTACAGACATTAAGAATATCCGTCATCTGCAGATAGCTAGCGGCTGACATGACTTCGATCACATTTTGACCCGTTAAAGACAATTTGCCCGAATATACAAAGTCCAGGATAACCATAAATGTCTCGGGGGAGAAGACCTCGAAGGTCGCTATTGTCGGCTGACCGGTCTCCTTCGAGCTCTGCGAAAGGAGCATTTTGAAATAGCCGCTGCTGGCAAACAGCACATTACGATGTGCCTTAAAGACCTTTCCCTCGACCAGGATATTGCAGTCGCAGAAGAGATCTTGCTTCCGCTGTTCGTTTAGCTGCTCCAGGAGGTGAAACTGGTGGGAAGAGATCTCCATTCCAGTCAAGGAGTGAGAAGAAAGCTTGCTCTAAAGTGAAAACCGAGTATAATCATGACAATCTAAACCAACGTTGCTGAATCCTGTTTTAAAGAAATTATCTCAGTTTAAAAAAAACCCACAAGAACATTGTGCCCACTATCCCATTCACAATATATCTGCAAACTCCTGTAGCCCCTATCCTGCAGAATAACGGGAGAGAAGAAACTTTAAAGGAAAAAGATCCTCAGCAGCAGGATTACTGTCCGAAAAGGCTGAACGTGCCATGCAGGCAGACACTCAGTTCGCAGTCGGAGAGAAAGAAGTTGGCCGATCTGCCGCGGGCAGGGCCGCACTG